GCAGAGGGGAGGTGACCGGGAGATTAACTCCAGTAAACAAGGAACAAGCGAGACATGGTGCTGGGAAAAGTAAAGGGACTTTCAATGGACTTAATAGTCATTCTGGATCCTCAGTAGAAGGATATTTCTCCTTCCTTTTTTAAATCTTAGATGGTTCTAGAAATTTACATGCCTTCTTAAACTGCCTACCCTGCACCAGCCACCAGGATTCTCTCAGAGCCTCATTTCTATAAAATCTAGAAAACCTGAGGTCCTTAAAAAAGGCGGATTACCTTTTGAAAGTAAATGTGGTGTCATATGCTTGGATGTACTAACATTGGGTTTTATTCAGCCCAGGTGGCGACTGCGCACACGGAGGGGAATCATGCTGTCCTCCAGCGGGAGCGGGCTTTGGGCCAGAGGCAGGAGGAGATTGCCTGGAACGGCCACAGCACATTTCCCAGCCCCCTCTCTAAGAATAGTCACCCTCGGTGTCTGGAAGCTGCGCTAGGAAGATGAAATATGCCGCCATCGTCTCTCATGCCTAAAAGCCCTGTTATTTTTGGTTCTTTGCTAGGGAAAGATATTTTAACAAATCTTAAACTACTTAGATAAAAGTGTATATTCTCTTACGAGGTTTCGCCTTTTCTGGCTTAACACTCTGTTTCTCCCCAAAGGGAGGTTTGTGGCCAGGCTCGGCACCTGAAGTGTTAACAGCTAATGCGAAGGAGCCATCTGTTCCTCCACGTGACCGCTGAGGTTCTTGCACAGGAAAAGTGTCCCTGCAGCAGCAGGTGGGTGCAGCTCTCCCTCTGGCCTCTTCCAGGCTTTCTGAACTGGTCACTTTTTGGTTATTTGGGGATTTAGCCAGCAGGGCTGGACACAGCGAGCTGGCTGCAGCAGGCTCTCAGAGGGCAGCAGAAGGCCGTTCCCACCTGAACACCTGCACAGCAGGCGTCTGGGGCCTCCTTCCTGCCTCCTCGCACCCCTGCCCACCCGCCCGAGGGGGCGAGCCCCTGTCCACAGCCAGGAGGGTGTCCTGGGGCCCCTTCCACAGCCTCACCTGTGACTCATAGGGCAGAAATGCGATGTTGATTTCTGTCAGTGTTTTGATGACTTTGGCCGCTCGAGATTTTACCAGCTCGTTGAACAGAGCATCTGGGCAGGCTGCAGGGCACGAGAGAGAGGGAGGGGGCTGGCTGTCTGCTGGGGCGTCTCAACCACTGCACACATTTAGTGCATTCTTTGACCCTCAAAAGGCAACTAGAACGCTCACCCCACCCTAAACATCCACTACTTCTAGAGTATAAACATAGCGAAACCCAATTACAAGCCCCTCGACATACACAAACGCAGGGCAGCAGGACGTCTGAGTTATCGAGAGCTAACAACAGCCACTTTCTGCTACCAGGGGAGGGGTGAAGCAGGACTAGGAAGGTCCTGCCCTGGACACAGGCACCACACATTGACATGATATGGAAATAGGCAAAGGAAAATAAACCACTGGGAAGCGGGGTGCAGACAATTTCCTAGGAGCGCCAAGGACGGCGCAGCTGCAGGGGCATCTGGGGCGGGAACCGCGGCTTCTAGTGACTCCCATGGACAGAGGGCCAGCCCCAGGCCCCCAGAGCGCGCTCCTGGGCATCACTGCTCATGCTGTCCACCCGCTCCCCGTCAGCCGGGCTCGGATGATGCGCCATTTGTTTGCAAGAACCTTTCCCCATCTTCTCGGCAGTGCATGGGGTGAACTGTCACCAAACACTGAGCTGCCCGCTGTCCTGCTGTTGGCAAAGACCCAAGGCGCTTCCCACGGGCTCCACGCTCAGACCCCCGTGGACGCGAGGGGGGCAGGGCAGAGGTGCAGGAGCCACAGAGCCCTGAGGCTGGGGTGGGGGGGTGCACACCACCAGTGACATGACACAGGCAGCCTGGCAGCAGGGTGCCCAGCACGGACCCCTGGCCTCAGGGGGTGTTACTGGGGTCAGGGAGGCTGCTGACCCCGTCGGTGTGCATGTGTGCATTTATTGTTTGTCTCTATTGCAACTCATCTCTGAGGAGAAAATAAAAGGTCATGACCGACTTGGCAAAACGGGGCTTGGGCTTCAGCCCTGGGGGCGGGAAGGGGGCCAGGTGGTGGCGGGCGCTGCTGGGCAGAGGCCTCGGCGGAACTCACAGTCGGTGAAGAAGACGTGGGCGGCCCGGTACTTGGCGGTCGGCGGGTCCTTAAAGTCACTGATGAGAGAATGGACGGACTGCGGGGGGAGGGGAGAGTCCACGTCTGGCTCGCGCGCTGGTGCAGGCGACGCACGCCAGGCGCCCTGACCGCAGGGGCGGCCCGCGTGCGGCTCCTGCTAACCCTGGCCACAGCCGACTTCTGAGAACTTAAGATTAGGATTACTTCTGCATCTGGATGAACAAAAGCCTTCTTAGCTCATTGTGGGGGGACAGAGCCCACACTGGAGCCACCCTAACTGGGGCTCCTACGAGACCCACAAACAAGGGAGCTAGCCAGAAGCCACCAGAGCGCCCCGATGCAGCATCTGCAGGAACGCAGCTACGCCAGTTTTCAGAGGTGGGAGGAGGGTATTACACTGGGGAAGCTGACACAGGCGCAGAGAGCCCAGATAAGCATCCATGGGAAGCAAGGGGGCGGCCCCGGCCTGGATGCCCCCACCCCTATTGCTGGATAAATTTGAAGACCAACAGGATGCTGATGAAATAAATCTTAAAACACAAAATACCATCAAAATGTATTGAAATCTGAAAAGAAAACACGATCACTAAGTGGATAAGGTGGATCCCCGACTCGGGAGGGCGTCTAGGGGGAACTACCCACCAGCCCTGATTTTCTGGACAGCGCTGCACTTCAGAAAGCTTAGTTCTCCCTGCTCACCATGCCCCTCCCCACGCGTGGGCTTCATGCTCGTCAGAGCCCTGAGTCAAGTGTGACCAGAGGCCCTTGCCCTCGGGGAGGAGGTACCTTCTCTGACGGCGTGATGAGATACACGGCCTCCAGGCTGGGGAGCGGCTCTCTGCGCTTGTTGATGTCCTCCACAACTGGACAGCAGGACAGCGGCCACAGAGAACAAAAGACATGATGGGGCATAAGCAGGAAGCCCCCGAGAGGCAGGCAGGTACCCGTTAAAAGTGGCTGTGGAGGGAGGGGCCCTCGGCTCGCCCTGGGCCGCCGCGCCCCAGGGTGCTAAGAGCCGCAACACTAGCCACGCCAAGTCCGCCCGCGGCCCACTTCAGTGTAAGTAAATTCCCAGGTCCGCTCCGGCTGAAACTGGGAAGCACAATCCCGCCCTGTCCAGGGCCAGCCTGCGCCTCGTCTTCCACCTTCTTCTCATCTGTTCTTAGGGATCCCAGTTCCTCCCTCGGTCGCTTTTTTATCAGCAGCGGGGTAGTCTTTTTCTTTTTCATCACTTTCCTCAGTCTGCAGTGAACACATTCTAAACACACCTGCTCTCTGCACCGTCCCCCTCGAAAGCTCCAAGACCAAGCACTGCGTGTATGAACCCCAGGAGTTTGGCTTACTGGTTCCTTCTGGGGCTTTGTGGGTTACTTCCCCGCAGACTGGGGTGGCTCTCCTGGCCAGCGGCCCGGCAGAGGCATGTTACCTGCAGTCTGCTATAGACAGGTGGTGCCCCCTGCCCACTGAGTGATGTAGGCAAAGGGCGTCCCCCACAATGACCCTCCTAATGCTCCTGAGGCCTTCCCACCCTAGATGACGTTCGAGTTTCTGCCCAAATTCTCCTACCCTCTGCTTTACCAGTGGTTATAGGGTTTTTAATTTCATAAATCAAGAATACTTCCCCAAGCAATGTTTGGGGGGCTCAGTGTAGAGTTGCTAGCTTTTAAATTCTGCCAAGTACACTGACTGTGGGAGGACCCTGTGGGCCCGGGAGAGCTGAGCGCTCATGCACTGTGGGCCACAGGGCCCAAGGCAAGGAATCAAGCGCTTGTCTTGACATCGCGCAAAACCACCCGAGAAATGCAGGGAGCTCATAAAGTCCGTCTGGCATTTTCTTCCCCTAAACTTTGTATGTTTTTGCTTTAATAGAGAAAATACATTTACTCAATAAAGGAGAGAAATCTGTAGGCTCGAGACAGGGGCAAGCTGGTCTTGGG